CCTGCTGAAAATTTTTCAAGTAAGCTTCTAACATGAAGGATGACATAGAGCCTGAGTCTGCAAATGCTTGTGTTCAGAAATACTTTTCCTCCCATGAGACAGTCTGTCGGCTGATCACAAGTCACGGTGCTGGAGCAGGAAGGAATAAATCCCAGACCCCGTCCACACTGAAGGCCAGTCAGGGTAACTGTGGTACAACTGCATTGACTTCAAAAGGGGGCAGTGTTAAATTAGCACTGCGTCCTTAGAAAATGTTACCCCATTTATCTTGAGAGCTGTGGGCTCCCGAAGACTTAGACCACTTTCTTGTTCTTTGTGGGAGATTTATCAGATACGGAGTAGAAATCTAAAAGGTTATCTGGAACTCGCAAAGGTAGGTAAGTTGGAAAGGGGAAACTCAATTTAGACTTGAAGTGCCTCAGTTGAGAAACAGCATTCCTATATAGTCAACAGAGAGAAATAATCTATTAGAGCCCAGTTCCTCATTTGCTAATTCAAACTGTTTATTTGAGGTACCTGCATCTGTCCATTTACTCGACAGGGTGCCCAAACAGACAGCCCTGTTTTTGCAAACTCTAAATCCAAGAAACATCATAAAATACATCTCCTTACCTGCTCTGTGAGGAGCTCTCAGGTACGTGGTACATGAAGACATTTCCTCTGGAGGCAGCAGCCCAGTGACTGGCCATGTTTATGATAGGACACGTGATAAACTGGTCACTGATAAAAAGGAAGCAGGGAACAGACACAGTCACATAACAGGAAAAAGGAAAGAAGAAAACCTCACAACCAACAGACCTCCGTAGAGGTATCGATAGCCTTCTTTAAGTCTTCCAAAACAGCTCGTATCTCTGCCTTCAAGTCCACTGAGGGAAACCATGTTCACCCTCTGTGAGCCCAGTACAGCTTAGAAGTCACTAAAATTGCTGTTTTATGGAGTGTTGAACAACGGTAAAGATACCAAATATACCAGATCTGACAGATAAGGAGTATCCTGGCCAAAAACATAATCCCATTTTAGTCTAGTTTATGGAGGCTCATGCTTGTAATAGTATAAAGCTCCTTCTTCTGGCACCACTAGGTAGAGTTTCCAGAGCTGGAAGGAATAGGAGACCACTTTTGGAGATGTCCCGCAGGGCCTCTGGTAGGGATCATCAGTGTGGAGTATCTGCTGCAGTATGTTGAGGAGAGAAAGGTTAAACAAGAAGAGTGCAATGAAATAGTTAAATATCAGTTTATCACCAGGTATTGCAATGCAAAGGTATGAGTGAAGCAAATGTATCCAAACCTTCCTAGCTTCCATTGACCCAAGACGTGGGGCTGGAAGGTGGGGTGAGCAGTAGCTGGACGGAGCACAAGCAGTTGAAGAGAGGCAGGCAGAAAACAGGACACCGTACTGCAAATATCTCATTATGAATCCTCAAGGCAACATTATATATACACATATCACCACTTCTCATTCTACGTGTGCCTGAAGACTCAGCACACTCTTTGGGTGTTTATACATCCATAACTACATGAGCACACGCAAACGTATCCGCTGCGGAAGTGGGAGGTTTCAATTCTCAGTCTAACGAATCTGAAACAGTAGCTACTCCTTCAGACTTGGTAGGTAAAAAAAGAATGCGGGCACGAAAGAACAGTGTCAGAGCAGCATAAAAACATCTTGCTATATTTAACTGGTATGATTATGAAAGACACTGTCAGCAGAGTTTATTTTAAGCCCATCTGTGAGACCACAAGCTATGGGCTGACTGACCACAATACTCTGTGACAGTTATGGTTGACAACACCCATACGAAACGAAAACTACTGTTCTTCACATGCCTACCAGCATGAGGTTTTAGAGGAGCAGATGGAATTTGAAAACTAGGGAGTCTGTGGAGAGCATTAGCTCTCGAGAGATGCTTTGAGATACATTTCACCACTTAAAACTGATTCTCAGTTGGTGCTATGGGGGCGGGGGGAAGTCAGCTATTCTGGGGAAGTTAAAAAAAAAAATAGTAACCACAAAAATGAAATGGGGGTTTCTTACAGGTGTGGAATACTAGAGTTAAAAAAAAAAAAAAGGAAGAAAAAGAAAATGAAACTCATTTTATACCTGGGAAATATATCAGAGAACTGCAGCTAAAACAATTTTTAAAATGGAAATATTTTAAATCCACAAAATATGTGCAATGTATGTAGCTTATAACAACTGCTTATGCTGCTTTCTCACACTTTATAATCCTGTTAAAACTTTAGCAATTAATTATAACTTCCTGACATAGAACTTTTCTTGGGTTACACATCTATGCTGGTAGTAAGATTTTGTTAAAAAAAAACGCAACCAAAAAAAACAAAAAACCCACCCAACCAACCAAATACCAAAAACCAGAACCAAACCCCTCTTTTGTGCACCACGTATGTGATACTGATGTAGATGCCTGTCATTCTGCAACTGCTGTCTCCCCTCCCTTTCTGCTGTAGCTGGAGTAATTTCCAAAGTGTTTAAAGCAAAGGATTATCATCAGACGTCCTGGTTTCACCACTCATCCTTCTGCTTGCTCGTGGTGACTCTAAGCCATTCACTTCTTTCCTTAGCCAAGCCACTTGCCGCGTACCGCAAACAGGCAGGTAGTCCCTACGCCCG